CAGTTTCCTGATTTAGATGCCAATACATTAGATATCCTAGAAACTACCTTTTCTTTACTTAACAGTTCCAATCCTACCCTTGCTGGTGATTGCTGGCTCTGCATGACGGCAGGTGCAGTCATGCCATTGGCGGTTCCCATCAATTATACCATTGATGATGACAACACATGTCAATCTGGGCTACCCTTTAAGGTGCAGCCTCTAGGTGGTTTTATGTCATGCCTTCTAGGCATGATGCAAAATAATACCTATGATGTTGATGTTGGAGTCTCTTCCTTTGGAAACTGCTCATTAGTAAAGAATTACTCCTCACCTACTCCGCCCATTTGTCCCCCTAATGGTACAGTTTTTATGTGTGGTGGAAATTTAGCTTTTCCCAGGCTCCCAGCAAATTGGACTGGTGGTTGTGTTCTGGCATTACTGCTTCCTGATATCACGATTATCTCAGGAGATGAACCCCTACCCATTCCTAGCCTAGACATCTTAGTTAGAAGACACAAGAGAGCTGTGCAGGCCTTACCACTCCTTGTTGGCCTTGGAATAACCGCTGCTGTGGGTACAGGCACGGCAGGATTGGGTACGGCTATACATTCTTACCGCCGCCTATCTCAACAGCTTATAGATGATGTGCAAACCCTGTCGGGAACCATTAAAGACTTACAAGACCAGATAGACTCTCTAGCAGAAGTAGTTCTTCAGAACAGGCGGGGTTTAGACTTGCTTACTGCCAATCAAGGGGGAATTTGTTTAGCCCTTGGGGAGAGGTGCTGTTTTTATGCTAACAAATCTGGCATAGTTCGCACAAAAATTAAACAACTCCAAGAAGACCTAGAAAAAAGGAGGAGGGAATTATTTGAGAACCCTCTCTGGACTGGACTTAATGGATTTTTGCCTTATCTTCTTCCCTTATTGGGACCATTGTTAGGCCTCCTTCTAGTAGTGGCAATAGGACCCTGCATTGTAAATAAGATAGTACAATTCATTAAGGATCAAATTAATATCTTAGCCTCTAAGCCGATACAGGTTCACTATCAACGCTTGAAGATGGATGATCGCCCCTCTGAGATATACTTCAGACCGATCCGAAGATGAGTGTCCTCCTTAAAAGAAGAACTCCTGCCATATCTTTTCTCTATGCATACCTCTCCCTCTTGCTTTCCTGTACTAGGATCTTTGCTGTCTAATCTCTCGGTCCAATCACATCTGCCATTCGGCGGTGACAGTCATGGGTCCCGTAGGTGGAGACGGTTAAGCGTTCACCGCAATAATGTCTTGATAGGTCATAACACCTTGAGCTGATCTTGTAGTACCCAGTGACGGGCAACTTTCACGCTTGCTGTGCAACCTAAGCCAGGGAATCGGGGCCTTCCCAGAGACGGGTAAGCATCGCAAGGGCTGTGAACGACCTAAGACAGGGGCTACTTGATTCCCACTGGCATGCAAAAAACAAAAGAGGGGGACTTGTTGGCAGCAGGTCCACCCTGGCCCCTGGAGCCCTACCTCCACTAGTTTGTTCTGCATGCCAGTGTGGCCAGCTCACAAGGCCATGGCGAACTTGCGGTTTTTCTGTTCCTGCTTGTCCGTCTGAGACATATGTATCCCACGGGAATGCCTTGACCTTTTCTGGTCTGATGGACTTATTGTTAAGGGAGGTTTTGGTACCTGACAATAATAGATGTTGAAACTAAATTTCTCCCCCCTCCCTCCTGCTTTTGGGTAGTTTTCCACTTCTGCTGCTTGGGGTATAAAAAAGGTGTGTTAGCAATAAAGATTATTGACTCCTGGATGAAGAACCTTGGTGTCCTGTGTGTCTTTTAACCTCGCCGTCCCTCGCCGGACTCGGCTCCCTTGGCCGGACGCGGCAACCACTAAGCCACATTCCCTGTCCTATTTTATATTTTATTTAGAGACAGGGTCTCACTGAGTTACTTAGCACCTCACCGTTGCTGAAGCTATCTTTGAACTCTTGATCCTTCTGCCTCAGCCTCCCAAGCTGCCGGGATTATAGGCGTGCGCGCCACCATGCTGGGCAAAAGTACTATATCTTTATTGTGGCAGTTGTGTGGATGTATACATTTGTTAAAATTCATTGAATTACACTTAAGTTAATTTTTGCGGTACTAGGAACTGAAACCAGGGCCTCATGCATGTTAAACCCTCTACCACTGACCTACATCCTCTGCCTATTTTACTTTGACACAGGATCTAAGTAAATTGCCCAGGCAGGCCTCAAATTTGTGATCTTCCTGCTTCAGTCTTCTGAGTAGCTGGGATTACAGGGGTGTGCCACCATGCCTAGCAAACTATACAGTTTGAATTGATGTTTTATTCTATATAAAATTTAATATCAAATAAAGATGATTTTTTTAAAAAGTAAAATAAAAATAGTGTAAGGTTAAGGTTCCAAGGTGAGTTCTGGCTCTCACCCTTAGGGCAGTTGCCTGCCTGTGTGAGCGGTGAGCTGAATTGAAAAGGGATAGACTGGAGAGTTTGGCACCCTGCCAAGGGTAAGAAAGGACTGAAACAATATTACCAGATGGACGCCAAGGAGGGACAGGTACCAGAGCTACATAAGTTGCTGCCATGTAGGCTATAGGGAAGGATATGGATTTCAGTCTAAGAGAAATAGGAAAACAAGCCACTTGGGGTCCTGTAGTTCCAGCTGTTCTGCTGCTCCAGAGGCTGAGGTGCCAGCCTAGACAACATAGCAGGAGCTTTTTCAAAACAAAACAAAAACAAAAATAGAAAACCACTAGTGACTTAACCAGTGGAGACAAGATATGGTCAGATTCCAGATGTATTCTGGGGAAAGCTCTCAAAACAAACTGATCAATTGGCTGTAAGCTGTGAGGGAAAGGGAAGAAGAAAGATGACCCCCAAGCTTTTTAAAAAAATATCTTTATTAGTTATTGATGGGTCTTTATTTATTTATATGTGATGCTGAGACTTGAACCCAGTGCCTCGCACATGCTAGGCAAGCGCTCTGCCACTGAGCCACAACCCCAGCCCAGACTCCCAGATTTTGAACAGAGCTATAGTTTGATTGTCATAATGTATGGAGATGAGAAAGGCATGGGAGCAGCATTTGGTGGGGAAGGAAAGAAATGAGCAATTCTGTTTTAGTCGTGAGATGCTTGAGATGCCTACTACACTTCCAGGAACTTATGGCTATATAAGGTGTTATATGAATCTGGAGTACACGGGAGAAATAGAAGTGGGAGAGAAGTGGGTTGCTAACAATTTGTTTTTAAGTATAGTACAGCCATGGACTGGTGAGATCATGCAGAGGGAATGGAAGTAGCTCAATTTGAATATTGCTTGGTCACAGAATTAATGTTAATAGGTGGAACAGATTTTTTTTTTTTTTTTTGGTACTGAGTATTAAACTCAGGGGCACTCAGCCACTGAGCCACATCCCCAGCCCTATTTTGTATTTTATTTAGAGACAGAGTCTCACTGAGTTGCTCAGTACCTCGCTTTTGTTGAGGCTGGCTTTGAACTCATGACCCTCCTGTCTCAGCCTCCCATGCCATTGGGATTACAGGCATTGCCAGCGCGCCCAGCTGGAACAGATTTTTTAATCACATACTCAAATTTCTTGAAGAAAACAGACACTCAGGAAACACACTTAGTCCTATATCACTCATCTTGCTAGAACTAGAATCTAGGCATGATACCTAGATCTAGGCTCATTTGAAGATACTTTATTTCTAACACCCCTCTGAGAGAACCCATTAACAAGGCAATTCTCACTGCCATAATAATTTATGTCCACAATACATTGGTGGTTAATTCACATTACTTCTCTGTCCTTCGAGAAGCTGCTACTGTCTCGAATATGTCACTTAGAGCAAACAGCCCTGACTTCCAAAGCAGATTTTGATTCTGACTCAGTTCTGAGAAACTTATAATCGTCTGTTTTTAATACCAATGGTGATAATTAATCAGACTAAAAAACTCACTGGGTGACATGGTTGAAGATGTCCTATTTAAATGACCATATTTGTCAGTCATTTAGCTCACATACATGTCAAAATTCCTAAAAAGATTTTAAATTTTTCTGAACACGAAAAGATTCCATTTCCATCTGATATTATTCAACATACTGAAGCAAATAATCAGGGGGATGTCAATCAACTGTAGAGAAAAAGTGGCAACAACAGGTATCTTACAGGTCTTCTTTTTTTTTTTCTTTTCTTTTTTTACTTTACATCTCTATTCCTGTTTTTTTTTAATTTTTAAAAATTCTTTATTTATTTATTTTAGTCATACATGACAGCAGAATGAATTTTGACATATAATACATACATGGAATACATCAATCATATTGTCTATTCTATTCTGCTGCCCTTCGTATCCTCCTTACTCCTCCCCTCCTCTCCCATCCTTTCTCTCTATCCAATCTAATGTGACACACTTTTTTTTTTCTCATTACAACATCATATATGTATTCTGTATAACAATGAGGTTCTCCTTCCATCTTCCGTGCAACTCCCCTTCTCCCTCTTTTTCCCTCTCACCTCTCTTCCCTATTTAGTGGTAGTCGTCTTCTCATGCTCTTCTTCCCTATTCCATTTTGAGCCACCCCCCTTATATCAGAGAAGACATTCGGCATTTGTTTTTTTGGGGATTGGCTAACTTCACTTAGCATAATCTGCTCTAATGCCATCCATTTGCCTGCAAATGCCATGATCTTGTTATTTTTTTAGTGCTGAGTAATATTCCATTGTCTTACAGGTCTTCTTGATATATAAATTTATGTGGAAGGCCATCCTTGCACATGATTTGAGTTACCTCCCTGGCTGGGTGAGAGACCCTTAGACACAGCTGTGTCAGAGCTTTCCCCATCCTTCTCCAGGTCCGATTGAGGGCTAATCATCCCCTCGACCTTGGGACGCTGCCCCTCTTAATCTTCATTGGATGGGATTTTCCCCAGAATCTTTTGTTCCCCTCCCTGGCGTGTTCTCTCTCCTCTTCATTAAACTTCGCTACCACAATAGGTGGCTGGAGGCTGGAGCTAGGAGGAGCCATCTTGGAGCTGGTTTAAAGGTAATTAGAGTCTTGTCTCTTTAATTCAAAACTCCCTAGCGGTCCCTCACGTCTCCAACCTTCATTCACGAAGCCAGAGTGGGTCAAAGGCTAAAAATTTGATAATGAAACACACTCTTATTTAATTGCTGAGGGTCTTGCTAAAATGCTTAGGCTGGCCTCAAACTTGTGATCCTCCTGCCTCAACCTATCCATCACTGGGATTACAGGAATGCATCACCATGCCTACCCCCTACTTTTTTTTTAATTTAAGGAAACAAAAGTGGTAAACATGCAATTCAAGATCACTAGTGTTTTCCTAGGGATTAAGGGGATGACAAGTCTAAGGATGCTTTATATTTCTCTCTAGATTCATTTTGAAATCAGAAAATGTGTATGCTTGTAATCTTAATCTCAAACCAAAGGAATAGACTTAAATTATTCTGTTATTCTGGTTTAAAATAAAATTATACAAAATAAGACTTAGTGAGCAATAAAAAATAAAGTATGTGTTTTTAATATCATGAGTATTAACCAAATAGACCATACAAAAATCTGTAAAAAAAAAAAAAAAAAAAAATAGTAGTACCAAATGATTTAATACTCAATTCATTTTTTTTTTTTCATTTTATTTTTAGGATGGTTTCATTTTTCAGGACAGAATGACACGAATACAAGAAATAATCTTCAGGGTTGGCTGAGACCACATTTATCTGCTCTCTCAAAAGCATTAGCTCAGGCTCCAAAAGAGGAATTACAAATCTGAGAAGTTAGGGAAAAGATATATAGACTAGGGATTCTAATTAAACAAGGAAAATCATTAATGACATTGGTACTCTATTTTTCATAGTAATACTAATACAAATGTAACATTTTCAAATCAAGGAACCTGTCATTCCTTTCCTATTGGCTTTATAATCCCTATGAAATAAAATTACATAAAGGTGTAAACTCATATGCCTCTTTTAGAGACACTGCAATATAGAAGAGTAATTGGTTTTTTTGTAAGCTTCTTCTGAGTTCTGCAGGCTTCATGGTACTTCAGAGCCCCAGTAATTGAGCAGTTCATGACAGAAGATAAAAGTGAAAAAGTAGACACAGAGATCTGTGAAGACTTCGCCCATTTTGCTATAGGTATCCATTGATCGATTTATCACTTCAGCAGGAATTCCAGATAATAGAAGTGCTGCTGTCAATACTGTTGTCTTTATTTTCTTTTCACTCTGTAAAGACAAAGATTCAAATTAACTTTACATCTTTCAGCAGACTATATAAACTCTATAAAACATGATGAATTCTGCAATTTTTGCCTAACTGGTTTAGAGCTTGTTAAGAAAGTTTTAAAACAATATGCTAGCATTTACTGAGAATATAATAGGCAAATCAGTAAACTAGAGGCAATAGCAGGTAAGATTCTATCAAAAAATTTTAAAAGGTATCATCTTGGAAACAAGACACAATTTGAAATATACATGATACCACAAGGCAAAAAACAGGAAAATCATTATTAGTTAGGACTTCAATAACTGCTAAATGAATGACACGGACAATGTGGCATTAGGGCTCATAGGAGATAGAAATTGTTCCAGTTTTCTGTAAATAAAGGAATAATTCTAGAGGAGGTAGAAAACAGGCCTTCAAGAAGGAGCAGCACTTAGATTGGTAGAAATAAGATGAGAAATCTTATTTTAAGTCTCATGATAACAAAAGCCAGAGGCAGAAGAATGCTGATCATATTGGAGAACACTGAGTAATTTGTAACCATATCACAGGAACATCCTTAAAGGTCCTACATGATATGCAAAGAAATTCACACCTGATTACATGCACAACAGGATATCATCGGACAAGAATACTTTTGGGGGAAGAGAGAACATTTATTTTCTCATTTTTAAAAAAAAATTCAAAGTTGCTTTTTTAAAAAAAGTTATTGATTGGTATCAAGAAAACCACTCACATGGTTCAATAATTTTAGAAATATAAAAAGTTATGCCAGATATGGTGGTGCACCTGCAGTCCCAACTATTCAGGAAGCTCAAGTGGGAGGATGGCTTCAGCCCAGGAGTTCAAGACCAGCCTGGGCAACATAGAGGGACCCTGTCTAAAAATAAATACATAAAAATTAAAAATAAAAGTTATAATTAACTAAGACAAATGAAGCCCATGTCCACCAAGACACAGAGAAAGTTTCTTAGAAGTAAAACTTTGATTTTAGTCAAAATGACCCAAAACTGGGAACAGCCATGATATCCATCAACAGGAAATCAAATAAACAGATGGATTTATTCGTACTCCTGATTTATCACTCACCAAAATAAAAGGGAATCAACTATAAATATACTCAAAAACTTGATGAATCTCAAAAATATCATGTAGAATTAAGGAAGGCTTATAAAAACACAAAAAGGAATAAATGATCCTATTAATTACTAAAACAGGTAAAACTAATTTATGGTGGGAAAAAGAAAATTAGACCTTTGTGGGAGAGGAACTGGGAGTGCCTGGAAAGGGACACAATCAAACTTTCAGGGATGATACAAGGTTCTAAACCTTGAGTTTTGCAGGTTGTCAGAACTTATCAAATGGTTCACTTAGAACATGCACATTTCCTTTACAAAAAGTTAACCTTAAATAAAAAGAACCAGCTAGTCAGTCTCAGCAACTTAGCAAGACCTTGTCTCAAAATAAAAAATAAAAATAAACTAGGCATAGTGGTGTACGCCTGAATCCCAGCAGCTCGGGAGGCTGTGGCAGGAGGATCACAAGTTCAAAGCCATCCTCAGCAATTTAGCAAGGCCCTAAACAACTCAGAGACTCTGTTTCTAAATAAAATACAAAGTAGGGCTGAGGATGTGGCTCAGTGGTAAGACATCCCTGGGTTCTATCCCCCATGCAAAAACAAAACAAAACAAAAAAGAACCAGCTGGATAAGGGGATGTTCACCTATAATCCCAGTGACTAAGGAGGCTGAGGAAAGAGGATTATAAATTCGAGGCCAGTCTCAGCAATTTAATGAAGTCCTAATAACTGAGCTAGAGTCTGTCTCAAAATAAAAAATTTAAAAAAGGATTGGGAATATAGCTTAGTGGTAAAGCACCTCTAGGTTTAATCCCCAGTAAACCCCCCCTAAAAAAATAAAAAGAACCATAAACATTGACTTGGAGTTAATGATATGTTAGAGGGGTGAAGTATACAGATATGTACATCTATAACATACTTTGAAATACAGCAAGAAAAATAAGATGGATTTGTTTTTGTTTTTTTTTTTTTTTTAGAGAGCGAGAGCGAGAGAGAGAGAGAGAGAGAGAGAGAGAGAATTTTTTATTATTTATTTTTTAGTTTTTGGCAGACACAACATCTTTGTTATGTGGTGCTGAGGATCGAACCCGGGCCGCACGCAAGCCAGGCAGCGCGCTACCGCTTGAGCCACATCCCCAGCCCCAATAAGATGGATTTGAAAATAGAAAATTCTATACATGACAAATATAATGAGAGGTTAATTACAGAATCTACATAGTAAGGATAGTGTTCACTGCACAATTCTTTCATTTGTGTGTTTAAAAACTACTGCAGCATCTGGGCACATTGGCACATGCATGTAATCCCAGCTCCTCCAGAGGCTGAGGCAGAAGGATTCTAAAATTTGAGGCTAACACAGGAAGTTTAACTTAGACCCAGTCTCAAAGTAAAAAAAAAAAAAGGACTGGGGTTGGGAATGTAGCTAAGAGGTAGAGTGCCCTTGGATTCAATCCCCAGCACCACAAAGAAAAGGAAAAAAACCTACCATAACAAAACAGGCAGGGTGAGGCATGCCTGTAATCCCAGTGGCTGGGAGGCTGATTGCAAGTTCAAAGCCAGCCTAAGCAATTTAATGAGGCCCTAAGCAACTTAGTGAGACCTGTCTCAAAATTAAAAAAATAAAAAGGGATGGGATGTGGCTCAGTGGTTAAGCACCCCTGGGTTCAATCCCTGGTACCAAAAAAAAAAGAAAGAAACCACTATAACAAAATGTTGTTTTGTCGAAAGTGTAAAAGTCTCCCTTTCTTGTTTCTCCCCCATTTCCTAGTAATCTATACACAGCTCTATTACTACTACTGTTAATACTATTACTGTTAATAGTTTCATGAATATATAAACAAAATCAAATATGAATTATTTTGCATCCTTTTCACACACAAAAAAGGAGTATGCTACAGATCATATTTCTACACTTTTTATTTTTCTCTTTTAATATTTCTTGGACAGCTTACCACTCTGACTATAGGGAAAACTTCTTTTGTGTGTTTATGGTGCTGAGGATCAAACCCAGGGGCTTGTGTATGCTAGGCAAGTGCTCCAACTCTGAGCTACATCCTCAATGCAAGAATGAACTTCTAGGCCAATGCTTTAATTACAATGATATTTCTTTCTTTACTCTTTTACTTTCTGTATTTGACCAGTTTGAGCTTCAAAACACAAATATTTTAAATCCATCAAAACCAAAAACAGATCTATTGGCCCATTAGAAATGACTAAGCATGGGGTGAATGCCTGTAATCCCAGCAGCTGTGGAGGCTGTGGCAAGAGGATCAAGAGTTCAAAACCAGCCTCAGCAATTTAGTGAGGCCCCAAGTGACTCAGCAAGACCCTATCTCTAAATAAAATATAAAAAAGGCTGGGGATATGGCTCAGTGGTTGAACACCCCTAAGATGAATCCCCAGTTCTAAAGAAAAAGAAATGACTAAGCAGGGCTGCGGGTATTATTCAGTGGTAGAGCACTGTCTAGCATGCATGAGGCCCTGAGTTGGATCCCAGCACCACCCATACAAAAAAAATGGCTAAGCAAACAGCCAAGTAGTAATTTTTCAGCCAAAAAAAAAAAAAAACTCAAAGATAAAGTGCATTGTTACCAAGTGTTCAATAAGGGGCATAGTAAGATAGTCAAAATAATTTTATTTTATCTTTGTGTTTATTTTTTAGGTGTAGATGGACACAACACAATGCCTTTATTTTTATGTGGTGCTGAGGATCGAACCCGGGTCCTGCCAGTGCTAGGCAAGCGCTCTACCGCTGAGCCACAATCCCAGCCCTCAAACCAATTTAAAAAATTTATTTCCTTTATTATAAATAAAATGAATTACTAAAGTTAATTAGTAATTAAATTGAACACTTTTCTTAGACAAGTACTATTAATACTACCCTAAGGACCTCAAACCACATGGACCAACATTTTTGTAAAATATAATGAAAGTGTATGATAATATAAAAAGTACTACGAAAATTCCTGATTATTCACTTTATTATTTTGGGGGAGTACCAGGGACTGTAGATGTACACACAGTCTTATGGGGCTCAAGTTGCCTGATATCCAAGATAACTTTATTTGTCTGACCAAGTTTTATGTGAGTTTTGTTTTTGTTTTTTTAACTCAGGGGCAGTGGACCACTGAGCCACATCCCCAGCCCTATTTTGTATCTTATTTAGAGACAGGGTCTCACTAAGTTGCTTAGTGCCTCGCTTTTGCTGAGGCCGACTTTGAACTCACAATCTTCCTGCCTCAGCCTCTTGAGCAGCTGGGACTGATCGCTCCATTTTGAACTTAATACATCTTGAGACATAATTAGTTTGAAGATCAGCACTGGCAGGCAAACCATACTTTGAGCATTACTGATTCAGAACACAAGTAGAACCAAGTGTTTTGTTTTGTTTTGGTTTGGTTTTGGTACTGGGGATTGAACCCAGAGGCACTTAACCACTGAGCCACATCCCCAGCCTTTTTTATTTATTTTGAGATGAGGTCTCGCTAAGTTGCTTAGGGCCTCATTACGTTGCTGAGGGTGTTTCTGAACTTTCCATCCTCCTGCCTCAGCTTCCTGCGCTGCCGGAATTACATACGTGAGCCACTGTGCCCAGCAGGACCATTTTTTTTTTTAAGTTCTTAAAATTAGCTAGTCATGAATCAATCTAAATATATCACCAAACTTAGAAAAGATTTTAATTTACCTTGGGAAAATATTTGTACAGTCCCATGTACGCAAGTTGTAAAGTAAGAAATGGAGCAAATATGGACTGTGAAGATAAAAGATAAAATTAAATATTTCCAACATAATCATTCAAACCACAATAAATCAAACAGAAGCTATAAAATTCCAAGCAAAAAACTACAATAAAATACTAATTTAGTGCTGAAAGTTATATAGTTCTTTCAATTTCCCCAAAAGTCTTCTCTCATAAAAATTTACTTTTTAAAAATTATTTAAGAGTATAAACTAGAGCTAGATATATAATAATACATCATGAATTTCCTTCACCTAGAAGAAACTGACAACCTAAAGCATACCTAAAAGGCCCAACACTCAAAACATACACCATTCATTCCTTAGACTTTGGGGCAAAGAATAACTCAGATGGCTACCATCTTGGGCCCTCAAATTAGGAGCTATTCACACTATAGATAAAATGACTTGATGATCTGGCTTCTTAGGCAAAATGGAAAAGATCAAAGTAACATTTAATTTACACAATTATTTCTAAAGTTAAAAATATTATGAAGGGAACCAAGGAGCAAAGATCATTAGGTGGCATATTATAGTGAGAGCAGTGAGAACTAAACAATTGAGAAGTTCATAGTGAAGAAAACCAAAGCAAAAAAAAAAAAAAAAAAGCTCCTGAAAAAACGAGGCACAAAAATGAGATGATGCTTTAAAAGCATGAAAGCACAGAGTCCTTTAGATAAGAGAGATAAAAGCAGCTATCTAGCTCACTAAATGTTAAAAGCATCATCAATCTTTGCTATAATTTATTATCAGGGAGAAAAAAAATCAGATCTGTTGATTATAACTAAAGCAACATTTGCATAAAAAGATTTTCAAAAACTGTTTTGCTTAATGATATAAATCTTAATTACCTGGAAAATTTGTTTATGTGCCTGATATATGGTAGATATTCTTAAAATGTCTATTGAACGGAAATAGTTCTAAGAACAAGATTCGAGTGAACTATGAGCTATGCTTTTCTGCAGCCTTCCACTACTGTAAAATAACAGGACCACATCATGGTACAAAAAAGGCCTGTCATACTACTTCAACATTATGAAAATGTTGAAATACCTTTTGACACACAGAAAAAATTTACTTCATATTCAGGAACTCTATACTCTTTGGAACTTAATAATTAATATACTTTCTATATTGGCACTTAACCCTTTGGTTCTAGTATGAAACTGCCTGGATTTAATCTCAGCTGTCACTTAGATGCTATGTGACCTTGGGCAAGTGATTTAACCCGAGTCTTCATTCCTTTACAGATTTAAATGATATCTAGTTCATAAAGGATGAAAATTAAATAAGTTATTACTAGCAAAGCACTTAATGGTAGCTGGCATAAAGAACACCTTTAATAATTATTAATAGGCTCTCATTCTGTAACTATGGTGAATAATGAAGTTTATATAATACACCTCCAAATAGCTCCATAAATCTGGTAGATATTATCTTAATATTGGCAATTAATCCTGTGAATTAAAAGTATATAGCCAACTTGCATTTTCCAAATTTAGTTAGTTTATAGCTCTTTCCTTACCAAATATTTGCAAACAAAAGCTCTGACACCAAGAGCAAGAAGAGCACATCCCACCAATCTAAATATTCGAAAAGAGTCAAATTCTTCTGATGCACTTCCATCATCTGGATTGGGCTTTTCACTGATCAACTGTTTCCGTAATTTCATTGCTTCTTCAAATCTGGAAAGGTACTGTTCTAGGCCATGGCGAGAACCCCTCTGGACAGTATCCGTGGTCAGGTCCCCTCTGTTTCGCTGTCGGAGATCAAGGTTGACATCATTACTGTACTCCAGTGGTTTAATAAAAGAGTCCAATTTGTCTCCCAGCTGGGTCCCCTTTACCTCCACAACACCACCCTGCTGGTCAGTTGTTCCTGGACTGACCGAGTCACCCAGCACTACTCGCTTTGAAACGGAAGGAATGCTGAGGGAGTTCAGTTTATCACTGTCCTGCTGCTTTGATTTTGCTTGACTTTCCTCTTCTAAGGGGGAAAAAAAATTAAAAGCCTTTTGTTATTACACATGCCTTATGTGTTAATATTTTTAAAATATGTTGCTGCAGCTAAAACTTGACAGTCACTGAATCAAAATACTGATTTTGCATAAAATAAAAACAAGTTCCTCTTTCTATACCATCAAACTATATCACCCAAGAGTATTCCTGCAGAGGAAATAATCCAAACTTTGTGGGTAGGAGATAGGACTAAAAAACAAACTAGGAAAGATAATCAAGGATGGAAGAAGCTGTCAAGACCAACTTTTCATGGATAACATATTCCAGAAATATGACTGCATTGGTTGCACTAGCTTATTTGGTTAAAAATACAAAGCCATTAAAGATTTTTAAGATCTGAATTTTAAAATAAAATTTCTGAATCCAGAGCTCTGTGAGCATAGGGTGTGGCATAGCCTACAACTATTGTTAGGCAGCCATTAGGGCAGCCATTAGTAAGTACTTACATAGTTTTAGGATGCTGCTGATTCAAAACAACAACAACAACAAAAAAATAGAAATAAGTTTCAAAACAAAAGAACAAAATACAGAAAGATACTAAGTAGTTGGGTGCAGTGGCACACCTACAATACAGGGAGGCTGAGGCAGGAGGATTATAAATTCAAAGCCAGCCTCAGCAACTTGGCCAGACTCTGCTCTAAATAAAATGTAAAAAAAAAAGCTGGGGATGTGGCTCAGTGGTGAAGCACCCGTGGTACCAAAATGTGTGTATATATATAAATATTATATATATTATAACACATATATATAACATACATGTTATTTATTATATATAATGTCAGATATAATAAATAATGCTCTGAGAAAGAAAGAAGATCCTGATATTAACCATTAATGGAAAAACCTTTCTTCTAATGGTGCTCCTACATCTCATTTGAACTGTCTGAAGTTGACACTACCCAAGCCTCACAGAAGTCACGAAGATCTAAGGAGCTTGCAAAAACTGACTAAGGCAATCACTTAAGAACACACTTAAAATTTAAACTTAGACAATATTAGGGCATTCTAAGTGTTCAATTATATTCACTTCAAAAGCCTTTATTGGACAAGTCTTTGGGTGAGAATGTACTTTCCTTTAGAGTGAAATGTGGTTCCCGAAACAAACCGCAGTAACCTCATCTAATGAGAGAAAAATCTCAGGTGAGGATGTCGCACCTGTTGGGTTTATAAAAGATGATCACTTTTTCCCCCACCTCTTCTAGAAGGTCTGTTGGTCACAGTATTAAGAGCACTGAACACCGACACCAAGATATGAGTCCCCGATCCACGTAGGATGGACGAGCAGGCAGTTTATAAAGACAAGAGTTATACAGCAAAAGGCAATAGAAAGTAGAGGCCAGGAAGGCAATGGAAGGAAAAGCATTTGGAACAGATGGAAACGAAAACAATTGGCCTGAGGGGCGCGGTCAGTCTGGGGATGAAATGTACGCCCTTCAAGAAAGGCGAGAGAGTAACGGGGCGGAGGGACTCAGGGACCAAGGCTTTGCACCAAGTGGGGACAGTCTCAGCAAAGCTCCGGGAAAACTGTGCGGAGTGACTAGGTCCGTCCTGGAGCTAAGGAGTGAGAACGGGGGGGCATCACTTAAACGGGCAGGAGCAAAATGGAGGTCAGTGAGCAGGGTTTGGTCCACAACATCAGTGCAGTGGAGGAGGGAGGGCAGAATGATCCTGAAGACCGTAAGGGGTGGGAAACCGAGGCTCTCACCCGCGCCGCTCCCGGGCCTGTGAAAGCCCATGATGCGGTTGATGCGCTGCTCCGAGTTCATGAGCAGCTTTCTCCGCCGAAGCTCCGCCCGACGCTGGGAAGCAGACATGCCTGAGCCCGCCGAGGCCCCGGGTCTGTCCCCGCCGTCGGTGGCCACGGTCACCGGCTCCATCCTTCCTCCACAGTGTGGGAGATGTGGCAGTAGTGAGAGAGGAGGTGCCGGCGCGGATGACTTAGGGCAGCAGAAAGCACGTCACCCTCCCACGGTAGATCCGCCCCCCAGCGCGGTGCCAGAATAGGCCGGCTGAGCACGCGCGGCCCGAGGGACCGCGCACAGGCTCTGGCCGCCATCTTGGGTGAGGGCAAAGAGGGCACGCGTCCCTACCCACCTTGGCTGGCTCTCACTTACTTGCCTTCCCCGCTGTTGAGTCCCCCACTGCTGTTCATGCGGAGGTCAAGAAAACCAGCACTCGGCCTGACGGGTGGGCAAGGACGTCAGTGAGGAGCGGGTTCATACTACATTATTGCCAGGAAGCAAAATGGAGATTGCAGCGTCAGGCGCCTGTCTCCAGCCCTTCTGCGGTCGGCTCGCCGTCTGGGAAATACGTAACTGCGGGAGCGACGCCTGGGGGAGCATTGACTGGGATTTGTTGGGGGGTGCCGATTCTCATCCCTTTTTCCGGAAACACGCCCGGTTTCTTCTAGGCTTATTTTCTTGTTCAAATGAGGTTTTCCCAAGAAAGCTTCCATGTCCATTCTATCTAAATTAACAGAACTCTGAGTGTGTGTTTGGTACCGGGGATTGAACTCAGGGGCACTCGACCACGGAGCCACGTCCCCCGCCCTGTTTTGTGTTTTATAGAGACATGGTCTCACTGTGTTGCTTAGCACCTCGCTAAATTGCTGAGGCTGGCTTTGAACTCGCGGTTCTCCCGCCTTAGTCTCCTGAGCCGCTGGGATTACAGCGCACAGCACTCTGTGTTCCCTTGTTTTGCATTATGTTTCTCCTTCACTCTCAATCACCTCGCCTGCTAAGTGTACTAATTTTGTTTGTGTCTCACTAGCTGGAATGCAAGCTTGCTGAAGGCAAGCCTTGTTTTGTCCACTGCTGAAGTTCCTAGAACAGGGAACGCACGACAGGCCGACTTACTCCTCAGGCCCAATAGGCGCAACATTGAGGGCCCCTAGTAATTTGGGAGCCCACGAAAACGCTTCAATTTTAGTTTCTCTTAGTATCAGAGGAAACAATTATTATCATATAATAACGAGCCAAATCTGAGTTATAGTCGTCTTTAATAGCAGCACAGTTATAAAATATTTTAAGTAAGTTTACATGGAGGCAGGAGCCCGCAGGCAAAATTGCCAATGTTAGGTAGGACTTCAGGACGCCAAAATGGCAGAGGCAGGGTTCATAGGAAGGACATGGCTGGAGGACAAGACAGAAAACTGGTCACGTCCCTGTTTACCTTAAGTCCCGTTACCATGACAACTCCCGCCACTGAGGATGTATCACCATGACAACGCCAGCCAGGTTTGGTATTTTAAAGTGACCAGTGGGGGTAAATTGGACAGTATTCTAATTAGGTTTTCTAAAGTAACCAATGGGGAAATTGGACAATAATCAGGTATCATAAGGTAACCAGTGGGGAGGCAAATAGGGTAAGGTCTTCAATCAGGCCAGTATAGGGAAGGGAACACCTCATAGCTAAGCATATAAGACACTGATTTCCAGACATCAGGACCTTGAGTCTCTCTTGCTGGGCCCACTCTGCTACTTCCACCTTTAATAAATCGGTGCATTGCCTGTGACTTCTGTGTGTCTTGCTCAGTTCTTTCTTCTGCACACCAAGGATCTGGACCCTGACAATAACACCATGGGCCCAGGAAAATAAAAATGTAATCCTTGCATTCAGTAGTCAACTAAGTGAAAGACCCCATCAACACTTGCTAAGAGGGGACCTTGGCCAGGTCCCTGAGGCTCTAGTGTAAATCAGCCTGTTGGGCTCCTTGCAAGGAAACTTGCTACACTATTGAGATAGGAATCTGAGATTACCAACAGGAAAAGATAAATCGAGTCTCTAAAGTGAAGTGCCAGGACTGGGGATGTGGCTCTGTGCTAGAGTGCTTGCCTGTTGCCTGGTATGCACAAAATCTCAGGTTGAACCCCACCACCGGAGGGGGGGCGGGTGGGGGGGGAATGGAGACAGCCGTTCCCATAAACCATTGGAATACAGAAAACCCGCCCAAGAACTGTTTGAATGTGAAACAAGCAGCAAGCACTCCTGAGCAACCCAGCCTAAGTCTTTGGCTTGTCATTGCCCACAAAAGGTAACCCCCCCAACAAAGGGGTTGCTTCTTCTCCCTTGCTCAGAAGGCTGAGGCAGGAGCCAAGTTCAAAGCCAGCCTTAGCAAAATCTACTTACTGAGCAACTCAGTGAGACCCTGTCTCTAAATAAAATACAAAAAAGGGCTGGGGTTGTAGCTCTTTGTTAAGTGCCCTGAGTTCAATCCCTAGTTCCAAAAAGAAAAAGAAAAAAAAATCAGTTTATCACTGAGTATAGTGTCACACACTTGTAATCCTGGGAGGCTGAGGGAAAAGGATCGCAAGTACAAGGTCTGTGGTATTTTTGTTGCTCAATTTAAGTTCGTTTTCATTTTTATTTTGTTTTCTTTTAACAGTGTTGGGGATTTATTAGAGTCTGTAAAGAAGTCAAAATAACACCTGGCATTTTGCCAGGGGAATGTTAGAGTTCATGAACAAGTCTGGATGGTGCCCGGCAAAATGCCAGAGGGAGTGGTTTGAGAAGTAACAAAAGCGAGCCATTAAGTGTGGAGATTCCTGATTGGTTGACTGTGTGGAATGTATAAATACTGCTCCTGTCCTGCAATAAAGCTACATCCCAAGTCCTTTTTAAAAATTTCATTTCAAGATAGGGTCTCTCTAAATTGCCTATGCTGATCCTGAATTTGAGAGTCTCCTGCTTCAGCCTCCCAAGTGGCTGAGATTGCAGGGGATATTGCATAGATGTACAACACAGCACCACTCAGTGACTGGCTAGTTATTCACATTGCTTTCAACAACCAGTAACTGTAAGCTCTTTCAATTGACTTTATTGAATAGCCAAATTGATAAATTAGCACAGATCAAATGATTGCTTGGATTACAAAGCGTGTGTGTGTGTGCTGGGAATTGAACCCAGGACCTTGTGCAAACAAGGCAAGAACTCTATCCACTGAGCTACATCCCCAGCCCCAATAATTTTTTTTTTTTTTGGTGCCAGGGATTGAACTCAGGGATGCTTAACCACTGACCTACATCCCATTCCTTTTTATTTTTTATTTTGAGACAGAATATCACTGAATTGCTTAGGGCTTCACTAAATTGCTGAGGCTGGCTTTGAATTTGTAATCCTCCTGCCTCAGCTTCCCAAATTGCTGGAATTACAGGCACGTTCCACCATGTCCGGCAGTATTAATTTTTTATATATAAGAATAAAACAGTGAAAACTACAAACTTCACAAAGGAAGACAAATCTTGTTTCTAAGATTTGAGAGAATAGAGATTTAACCCCAACACTGGCAATCAATAATAACTTGAATTTGAGAATAAGAATTTAATTTTACAACATTATATATTATTTATAAAATTAAAAATTCTATATAAGGATTATATATGCAATAGTTAACACATTTTTATTTTTTTTTTAGTTGTAGATGGACACAATAGCTTTATTTATTTATTTTTTTTATGTGGTACTGAGGATCATACCCAGTGCCTCACATGTGCAAGGCAGGTACTTCTACCACTGAGCTACAGTCCCAGCCTAGTTAACAACATTTTGAAATCACATTTGGTGGTCCTCTAGATAATAACTGTTATGCATATTTCATTAAGAGAAACACTTTCTTTGTTTTGGTTGGAGATGAAACTCAGTGATAGAGCACTCACCCAGGGTCCAATCACAGTATAAAAAAACAACAAACAAACAAAAATATTGTTATTCTAAAGGTTGCAAAACAATCAAATAGACTCAATTCATTACACTAAAAACAATAAAATTTTCACAATCTAAAATAAATGGTACTGCTTGAGTGAATGTTATTATTAGACTTACAGAAATGTTATTTTAAAAATTCTAGAAATTAGAAAAAGTACTTTTTATGGTAGAACTGACAAATTCAGATTCATATACCAAGATTGCTGTTGTTTGTTACTTTAGTAGTTATAGAGCTGTAGAAAATTCAAGGATCGTCGGGTTGGGGGTTGTGGCTCAGTGATAGAATGTTTGCCTAGCACATATGAGGCACCGGGGTTGATCCCCAGCACCACATAAAAATCAATAAATAAAACAGAAGTATTTTTTAAAAATTCAAGGATCTTTCATAATTTACAACTATATCTTTTAAAATGTGGCATAGTAGAATTATTATTTGCTTTACATCAAAAAGAAAGAAAAGATGACTGAAGATAGTTTCTTACTGTCCCCCTGCAAAACCTTAGAAAGCATTGAATATTCCCCAAAAGCTCATTTATTCTCTCTCTTTTTGTTTTTTTGGGGATTGAACTCAGGGGCACTTAATCACTGAGACACATCCCCAGCCCTATTTTGTATTTTATTTAGAGACAGGGTCTCTCTGAGTTGCTTACTTAGTACCTCGATTTTGCTGAGGCTGGATTTCAACTCAAGATCCTCCTGCCTCAGCCTCCTGAGCCACTAGGATTACGGGTGTGCATCATCACACAGGCTCATTTGTTCTCTTATTATCTGGAGAACAAATATTGTGAATCCTAATTAAATTTTTTTTTTTTTTTTTTTACTTTTCTGGTACTGAGGATTGAACCCAGGGATGCTTTACCACTAAGCTCCACCCCCAGCCTTTTTTTATTTTTAAAAATTTTTAGACAGGGACTTGATAGATTACTTAGGGCCTTTCCAAATTGCTAAGGCTGGCCTTGAAATTGCAATCCTCCTGCCTGAACCTCCTGAGTCACTGGGATTACAGGTGTGTGCTACCACACCTGGCTGAAATTTATGTTTTTTTGAACTATTATAAAATTACCTTGGATTGTGCATGTTATACAATATCTAAAATGTTTTTTGGGGGTGGGTACCAGGGATTGAACTCAGGGGCACTAGACCACTGAGCCATATCCCCAGCCTTTAAAATATTTTTTAAAGTAAATTTGTGAAATATATGCTAACACAGCATGCAGTAATAACACGAGTCATATTATTACCCTATGTACCTATATAACTATATGACTGATGGGATTCTACACCATGCATAAC